GGGGGTGGTGGGACAGAAAATTGAAAGGGTTTCAAATCCCCTCTAGATTTGTAGTTTCTGTGACACTTAAGAGCATATTTAGATGGTTTATTTTCTGTCTTCAGTTTCTCGGTGCTTCAGTGCTCTGAGCAGGAGAATTTCTGGAAAGAAAAGGAGGAATAAATTGGTAAAACAGTGATTTGATGCTGGGAACATACCACGATATTTGAGGGTGTTAGATGTTTAACAAGGATTCCAGGAGCTGTTAACATAGTCATGGAAATTGGGAGTCAGCTAAAAATGTCAAACATAGCAAAATAATTCTCAAATATTTGCTAATTGCATGTGAGCGCTTGGCTGGCCAAGGGTCTTGGATACTCCAGTCAGTTGCTGGTAGTGGTCGATGTGGTGAGTGCTTTTGAGAAGTGTGCATTAAGACTTTGTGGGACTTTGCAATCATAAACATAGGTTTAGAGGGGTGACTTTAAAAGGTAACCTGTTTTTGCTCTCCTTTTTAAATCAAAGTGTGCATTGGGTTTAAAAAAACCCATAAATCAGAGTCAGTGCAGCTCAGCATTGCTGTGCCTGCCCATTGGTGGCAGAATGAACCTTCACTTTCCTGTCTGATGCTGTGGTAACGCTGGGGGGAGAGAGAACAGGAGAAGGTGGCAGGCGGCTGGGAAGAAGACACACGTCTCCTGACACGTCTGCCTTGTTAAGACAATCCCTGTGGTTTTGCTCTCACTGGTGTGAAGTAACAAACAGCCTAAGCATTACGGGTGGCATTACATTTGCTCTTGCAGTAGGATTCCAGTAATGTATTTCCATATAATTTTTTTCTGAATGAATATTCATTACTGAGAGTTGATATAAAATAAAGGTGGGAATTAGCAATGCAGAAGGAAAATTATTTATGTTTACTGACCAGTGAAGATAAGTAAAGGGACATGCATCTTGTAGAGTTAAGCACTTGGAGACTTTTATACTTCCATTAATCTTTGCTGTGTTCTAATGTCTATTATTAGAAAAGCAGACAAGTAAAATTATTCAAAAATTACCTGCCTGAGTGGTTCCTCAATGGGAAAATGTAGTTGCTGAAAAAGCAAAACCCAAATATTCTATTTTGGTCTTAACTCACACTATTAACAGGTTTCCCTTGTCCAGCTCCAGCTAAATTAGTATGACTGTGTTAGGCTGTCCCACCCCCTGCCCTGCAAGAAGCAGGACTGTCTCAGATGTAGGCTTTGTTCTCTGTCACTTATTTAATAAAGTCTGAGATGCTTCCTAGTTACCTCCTTTGACCCAAGCCCCTCATCTGCACTCACAGGCATGCAGTGCTACTTCAGTCAGGCAGACGAATTGATTACATGTCTTTCAGGCAGCTCTGTTTATTTTCTTATTTACCCTTTGTGGGTAAACTTCTTGCTTTGCGAAGTATCAGAT